TCGCCCTTTACCTTCACCCGCCCAAACCCGTCTTAACGGTGACAAAACCCATTTGGAGACAGCGTTGCTGCTGCTTGGGGGACTGTGAGTACAAGAATTGTGAAGATGCTGCTGATGATGATGTTCAGACTGTCACTAATATTTCTGCCGGCGGTCTTGATAGTATTGCTCACCGGATGAATAAACCTGATTCGGGTCTGAAGGCAGCAGATGCAGTAGCTGACACATTAGCACATTGACTGCTTTCTTCCATTTGCACGCTGCAGGCATTTCTGAGCTGAAACCCAATAGTAAAAGAAGGGCTGACAGCCATTCGGGGGAAAAAAGGGGAGAAACGTTTATCAGCTTGTTTTTCAGGGGCAAAATGACACTCACTTAGGACTCCTTTCTTTTCTCCTTCCTAATCAGATGTCAAATTTCGAGTTGATGGAACCGATGCTCAACTACCCACGGGTGTTCCCCGCCGAAGAATGTGGTCTCACATCACTCAGTAATGCCATGAACTCCCGGCGTCCTCCCTTCTCCCCGAAAAGCCGTATTCCTGGAAATGGCGGCGCCGGTGCTGTTGGCAGCAGTTTTGGCGATTCCTTTAATTCCTGCTTTTTGCCCGGGGGCTCCACCCTGTACTCTGGGATGCGCAACGACGTACCAGTCAGTCTGCTCTCCTCAAACTCTCCACTCTCCGCCACCACGGACAGTGTCGCCTCGCCCTTTCTCCTGCCCGGAGACTCCACTCTTCCGATTCTCCGACCCATCAACTTGAGACCCTCCTTATCTACGTAAAGGCTGCTGTAAGCGGTGCGAGCAGAGCTTGTACTGCTCGCTGCTCTGTGCGTGCACTCCAAGCGAATAACTCCCTATTGCTTCACGTTCTATACCGAAAACGTATCTTCTTTTCTCCAAATACCACTCGAGTACCTGGGACACTCATTTGTGATACTACGCCCCTACTAGCGTATCTTCGAACTCTCTCATGATAAATTATCAATAACCTCGCACACACAGACGTACACACACATACATATTCATAACGATGCGTTAAAGTAAAACTTTAAACCCTCTTTTACAGTTGCGTAACAGAATTGCCTGTAGGTGCACAGGCACTGTAAATATGAAAGGAAATTCTGAAAACGAAATTTACTGCTGTCTTCCTTCTAACAGTATTTTATGACTTTATGGGCATGGTCTGAACTTACTGAAAAGTACACTCCAAGGTTCTCTGTCAGATGAGGAATTTGTAATAATCTTTGTTGATGTGCGGCCAGTACAATGAAGGAAGTGGTATTTCGCCGTTAGCAGAGTTTTTGATAGAAATTTTTCGCTGCGTTGAAGCGCAATTGTTTCTACGGAGGGCTCATATTTTAGGCGAAGATATACTAACCTTCAGAAAGAATACAATTGTCTGTTTTTTTTGGAAACTCGCCGAAAGCGAAAACGGTGGTTACGATTGCAAAAATATTCTGTTTTGCGGTACACGAACATAGCTGTCAAGATTTGACCGGGTTCTATCGTACAGCGGGGGAAGACTGGGCCGTAGAACAAGTGTGAAATAACTTCCTCCTTTTCGCCTCCTCTGCGCCATACCACTTCAAGTTCGTACAACCTTGTATCTATTGAGGCGTCATCCTATCACCGTCATGCATCACAAGAAAGCAGATTATGCCAGCAGAGCATTAGGGATTATTTAGTTATTATTGGCGTCGTGTTTCACTTCGAACCCTTGGCCCGGGCTGCCTCCGGGTGAAATAGCAATCTCGATCGTCTGACCATGACGTAACCAGGTCGCATCATCGTCTCCAAATCAAAGCGAAATTCAAGCGCCCCTTGCGGTGTCCCAGTCCCTGTCAGTCGTTTCGATGCTTTCCCGGAAATAAATTCGTGGTATAGCTGGTCATTTAATTGCACATTAAATATGTCAAATCATTTTTTTAAATTTCCATTAGGTGCATTTGTCCACACCTTATGGGACTTTCGCGTAAAGATAAAAAGGCTGTACAAATAATATGGCCCAACGTTTGCGGTACACGTAAAGATGAGATTTACGCTAAATAACTGCATCCTGATGACATTTGAAAGAAAGGTTATATATTACAGCTCACGGGAAACGCAACGTTGAATGTATACACTTGAAAATAAAGAACTCGATCGGGAATTTCCTTTGAAACTGAAGAATTTCCCTAAGTGGGAAAGTAGGTTGGCCGCCCAATATTAAGCAGTTAAATGAAAAATTATGGAGAAGTATCTCAATTTAGTTGACCCAACTGTGCAAAATTCGTGGCCTTGGTGGGATTCGAACCAACATCAGCAGGGAAAGCTTAAGTACAGCCAACGCATTACCAATTGAGCTACGAAGGTACATCAAAATCTTTTACTTTTATCACACTTGGGTCGATTTACCTGCATAAACTCAGTCTGTTGAACAGAACATGGACATCGAATGCACAAGTTACTTATAGTTCAAGTTGGAGGAGCGGTTACTTTCAACATATGCCTGTGCATGGACAGATATATGACTGAATACTTTTCTTGCATTATAAAAGGAATAATTATCATTCTTCGTAAGCATAGAGGAAATTGCCGGAAGGATTCAGGAAACGACTCCAGTTACATTAGTATAAAGTCCCTACCCCTTGTTATACAGTAACATGCGCTTCCATAGTTTAGGGTGTAAATTAACATATAATCTCTTCGGAAGTTAGTGGTCACGTGGCTCGTTAAAACCTATCTAAAGGGTAAAGTTTATGAAAAGACAATTTTCTTGATGGTCTGGGTTCACTATGCCACGGTGCCGTCACTAGGAGACTTTTAAAAGATAGTCGGTCTGCCGGATCTCCGCGGTTCACCCCGTGATATCACTGTCGCTTCTGGTCACGATTGTTTATTCTCCTGGGCTGTAAACCTTTACACGTTCCTCCGACCTGTCCGTCACTCCTAGATGAACTGCACAGTCTGTATCTAAGTCACCATGCAGGCCCATTTACCGGATTTTTC